ACTCTGATGAGAGCAGTCTCAGTACTATGATACGGTCTAAATCCTGACTGGAAATCCTCACAGATACCATTTTTCTCTAAGAAGGAATATAATTGTGAGGATACTACCTTTTTCTAGTATCTTGGACAGAAAAGAGAGATTCGAGATCGGTCTGTAATTAACTAATATTCTTCAGGGTAAAGTTATTGTTGTTGTTTTTTTTATAAAGAGAGGCTTAATAACAGCCAGTCTGAAGGTTTTGGGGACATATCCTAATGACATTGACAAATTAATAATATTCAGAAGAGGATCTATGACTTCTAGAAGCACCTCTTTTAGTAGCTTAGATAATGTTGGGTCTAACATACATGTCAGGTTAATCAGTCAGGTGCAGATTAAGAATCACCGAGCTGCTGATTCCGTTTTTGGATAAAACAGTCCCAATTGATCCTTTAGTTAAAACTGAGTTGCTGATTTCCCTCAGTGAAAACAGAACGTCGTCAGAGGCCGTATTTGGAAGCGTCAGGTTAACCAGTCAGTAAAGATCACCGAGTCGCAGATTTCCTTGATTAGTATAAACGGTCCTTTTATCCTTCTAGTTAAAAACAACCAAAACGACCAGGCAACAGTAATCAAATATTTAAAATAAACAAGCAAATAAACTTAAACCATCAAGGAGCAGCGGCAGCAGTACGCGCCAGCGTTCACTCCGGAAGTTTTTTCAACCATACAACTATAGTTGTCTGCAATGCGTTCAGCTGCAAGAGCATTATCAGGACCAGAGACACAATCATGGTCACTTGTGTGAACTCACAAGGTAAATAGCGAGGCCATAATGGCACAGTCATAATTTCATGGGTCATGCGAATTGTAAAGTCAGTTGCCTATTTATCATTTACAGCAAAGCAAACCTGTTGTCAAATTTCGAAAACTACCCAAGTGACGTTAAATTCAATTTTTGTGCAAAAACAATGAAACAAATAAAACAATACAAATATACAACAGTATTATATAAATAAAACAATTAAATGTTTAAACAATTACAGAAATTATATTAATTGTAGGATTTTAAAGAGTATTCTTGTTTAAAATTATGTAATACTTTCAATACTTTCGATTATGTAAAATTGGCACCAGAAGTCACAAAGAACAGAATAAAATGTTATAATTAATAAAATTAATAAATGCGTTAAATACAATTGAAAACATAATCTCACTGATCATAAATACGACAGAATCAACCAATAAATTCCATAAGGCACTTCCATTCATAAATATTTGTAAATGTGTACATCTGTAAAGTTATTTATTCATAAATGATGTTTTAGAGGCTGTTAAATCAATATTATACATTTTATTGTCTATGTAAATGTACATGGTAGAACCACACTTATTGTAAAATACATACAAATACTAATGGAATCATGTTGGACAGTCACTTTGTGTTCATACCTAAACAAACTGTCAGATATGTTACTGAACTAACAGAGTGCATCAAGGTCAAATCATCAGACGAGGATGTTGATGATTCAAATGAGTTTGTGAAGTTCTTCCCTAGTTTCATCTGGGCAGTGAGGGACTTCACCCTGGAGCGAAAGATTGATGGCAAAGATGCAACAGAGAATGATTATCTAGAGTTTGCTCTGAAGCTGAAACATGGTAATTTAAGTATGGTACAAAAGATTATTTTAAGAGCCCTCACAATCACGATCACAATGAGCTCTTGTAATGAGTTTTTCCAAACTTAATGGTTTATCAACAGATCTTTCTTACACTTACATCACTTATTCTGGTTCTATTTAAGATCCAAGTTTTGGGTGTACTGCAGTTTGTTTAAATTGACTTATTTAAAAAAAGACAAAGATATCAGTTACAAATCAGTTTTTCTACTACTGAAAATGATAGCATAGGATGCAACTTTGCAATATGTCTAAAGTTAAAAACGTGAAGTCTTAACTGTTTCACATGGGGGTGAAATGTCAAAAAAGAACCCAAGATCACCCCAAGATTCAGTTTTATTTGAAACTCTAGTACAGAGCCATCAATAGTTAGAGGTACAGTGTTATGGAGCTGGTGAGGTAAGCTGAGAAGCATAATCTTCAATCTTATCACTGTTTAGACAAAGAACATTGTTAGCCATTATTTTTATTTTTGTCAGAAATACATTTAAAATAAATGAATCAGCCAGACTTACAAGTCAGATCTACCTAAAATTGGTGAAGGCTACCATGCAAGGTGCCATAACCCAACCATCAGGAGCAAGTGATGTTCAGTGTCTTGCCCAAGGACAATTCATCGATTGGTTAGGTGAAACTGGGATTTAAGCTGGGAATCCTCTCCCAGTCAACATATCTACTCCCTGAACCAGTGTTGTTCATCCACAGCAGATTGTGTTCTCCCTGTTCCAACTCTAGATCAGTGGTTCTCAATTCCAGTCCTTGCGACCCCCTGCTCTGCACAATTTGTATGTATCTCTTACACTTCAGATATTTGTTCTATTCGACCGTAAGTGCTTTGCAAAGTGGACATCCCAGGATATTTTGCCAAGATTCCCGTTGGAAGGGAACGCATACATTCCATTTAAAGGGCGTTAAAGTTTGTGAGATGTGAATTTAAATTGTATTTATTTACACAGGTGTATATTATGTCACTTCTCTAGTAAGTTTTGTCTGTGTGAAGACGCTGCAGACTGCAGCATAGCGCAAATCCGTGAACGAATGTTCCGAAGTGAAGTAAACTTCAATGGATTTCCCATGCTCAGGGAGTAGGGAGCAATCAACACTGTGGTAGGGACCATGTCAATCGGAACAGAATTAATTCATGAAGCTCTCTTACAACGAGCTGGTTATCTGAGTTAGGTGTGTTAAATAAGAGAGACATGCAGGGCTGCCAACTTGTGCCAAAATGTATTATTATAATTTTTTTTTTTTTGCCAAATTGCTTTTGGGTTTTCTTACGGTTTTCTACGAAAACACGTTGTAAATAGAATCTTTTGGCGATTTCCAGAGCGCAAACGCAAATGCGCACAGGAGCCTTTACCAAATCTGTTTCACCAATATCCTATTATTACAGTTGGATGTGAGGGGTGAGAAAAGTGTCAGCGTGAGAGTTGGCAGCCCTGGACATGCAAAATATGCAGAGCGGTGGTATGCAAGGACTGTAATTAGGAACCACTGCTCTAGATCAGGGGTGCCGAAAACTCCTGGGGGGCCACTGTCTTGCAGTTTAGCTCCAACTTGCCTCAGCACACCTGCCTGGAAGTTTCTAGTATGCTTAGTAAGACCTTGATTAGATGGTGCAGATGTGTTTAATTGGGGTTGGAGCTAATCTCTGCAGAACACTGGCCCTCCAGGAGCAGGACTGGATACCTAGATAATAGCATAAATGTATAATACACTGTGGATGGAAACGGTTCAAAGTGGAGAACAAAGAAAAATTCCAGTGACAATGTGGTCCAGAAGAGTAGCTGAATCATCTACACTCTGCTCAAAGGACAGACACTTTTTTTTTACTTTACAAAACTCTAGAACTGAGAAAAGCTACAGCTTGTGTTAATCTCTTCTAGGAACATCAAAAAAAGTGATGGAGCACAACCTTCCCAGGGAGTGCATCCAAAAATTATTCCCCTCCAGGACGTGCTTCACGTTCTCGTTTCCAACCGCCCCAGAGAACGTGTCTTGTCTGGAGAGATTGGATCCTGCGGACCTTTCCACTGAGTTCCTGGAGGTTACAGGACGTTTCTGCAAGTTTGTCTTTGACAAGAGTGATGTGAAGAAGCTGAAGGATGGATACACAGTCACTGGCAGAGGTGATTCAGAAGTTCATTTGAAGAGCTTGCATATGTGCTTTCAGTGGAATTTCTATTGCTCAATCATTTTGTTTGACTTCTTTCCTTCTTTGAAAGTTCTGGGTCATCTAGCAAAAACATACGTTGACACCATCTCTAGTGGAGCTGTGCCGTGTCTGGAGAATGCTGTGATCGCCATGGCAATGATTGAGAATCAAGCTGCGGTGAAGGAGGGGCTTGAGGTGTACCAGAGTGGAATGGAGAAGCTGAAGAACTCCTTCCCTCTGGAGTTAAAGCTTGTGTCCTCGGAACACCAACGTCTCAGCAGCATGGCAACACAAACCTTCATGACTCGATCTTTCAGGGACACTGACGGGAAGCACCTGAAATCTCTAGAGGTTAGCTGGATCTCTCTCTGAGGAGGTCCTTTGAGCTTACTGATAGAGAGATGTTCTTTCAGAGTAGTGAATGAGATCTGGACATTCTCCCTGATTCCATCTTCTCATATATACCATTCTGTGCTGACAGTGTTATTCCAAATAAACAAGTCAGACCAAATAGCAAGCCCTAAGTCACCAAAGAACTGAAACACTGTCTGTATGTTTATTTTAGGAAAAACTTAATGAACTCTTTGATGGATACCTGTGCCAAAATGAGCAAGCTTCTAAGAAAAGATGCGAGGATCTCCTGTCATCCCTCTCAGCAACAATGACTGAAAAACTCAAACAGGGCGTCTATGCTAAATCTGGTGGCTATGATCTCTTCTGCAAGGATCTGGAGGACATTGTGAAGAAATACAGCAGCCAGACCAATAAAGAAGTCAAGGTCTTGTCTATATTGCACAACTTAATGACATTTTAAAACATTTTGTTCTGATATAGCTTCTAAGGTCTGTGTGTGTCAACAGGCTGAAGCGGTCTTAAAGGTGTTTCTGAAGCAGAAGACTGTGGATTCTAAAGCTATTCTGCAAGCCGACAAAAAACTGACTGAGAAGGAAAAAAAGATTAAAGGTAAGAGTTCCCCATTCTTAAATTCTGACCAGGTTACTTGTGAAAGAAGTGCTCAAAGGTTTAGGTGCTTGTTTAGGTGATAAGCTTCAAATGCAATAAATAGCACTAACAAGTAGCAATAAATGGTAGAAGGAGTTTCAAGGGTCCAAGAATAATTTTGCTTTCAGAGAACAGATATAACATCATACAGATAACAACTGCAGTCCCGGGTGTAGATTTCAGGAGGCTATTCATGCCATTATCATTATGAATCAAGAACGTCTTGGTTACGTATGTAAACCTCGTTCCCTGAAGGAGGGAATGGAGACATCACGTCGGTGACCGATGAATTGCCCAGCAAAATATAGCTCTACAAATATCTGTCAGTGAAGCGCCATGAGCCAGCGCCCAGGAGGATGCAACACTCCTAGTAGAGTGAGCTCGCA